CGGAAAAAAGATTCAGTCAAATATTTTCGACGGCAAAAGAAATTCCGTCGAAAACTTTTCAAAAAAATAAAAGAAAAAAAAATTATATTTTGTGGACTTTTCGACGAAATTTCGATTCCGTCGAAGATTTTCGACGGAAAAGGAATTCCGTCAAAAACTTTTCGAAAAAAGAAAAAGAAAAAGAAAAAGAAAAAGAAAAAGAAAATATATTTTGTGGACTTTTCGACGGAATTTGTTCTTACTTTGCTATCAAAGCATTGTACCTTTTAGATTAGTGTGATGATAAATTTTGAAATCAAAACACAGTGTTTTTATTCTTTTCCTTTCTATTGACTAAATTTTTAATTTTATATTGCTCCATTTCTTCTTGACGTTGGATCTTTATTTTTGGTACTGCAATACTTGATAACACATTTCAACAACTTTCAACCTATATGTTTGGTAAGTTTCTTTCTACATGAAGGCGTTTTCTTCAACTTTCAACAAAATATTGGGATATGTGCTTGTCTGTCATATTGTGTGAAAAAATATTTTAGAACCTTCCCTGGTGTGCAACCCCCGCTTTCTTCATGCTCTTTTGCATCTTCATGGTTATTATGTGTTCATAAGTTATCATTAATATAGGAACTAAGTTGTTTAATATCATAATTAATATAGGCATTAAGTTGTTTAATATCATTGTTTCTAGCAATCTTTCTATGCATGTACCACACATGGCTTTGGAATTGCTTTAGCATTTGAAATTTCAATGTAGAATTACATTTCTGTTATTTTCATAAAAATTATAATATTTAGGGATTCACTATGATATGGTTTTATTAATCAGGAACTTCCCCCACTGTGGACAGTTCCAAATTGGAAGATGATGCTCCTGATGAAGAAGAAGATGGTCAAAGACGGAGAAAAAAGCCAAGGAGGGTTTAAGTTAAGGAGAGACTTGACCAGGGAGGAATATTTAAAGTTCTCCCACTTAAAATCATTATTCAAGTGTATGAAGACGAGGATTATGTTCCTTAGTCTGCAAAACTTATCACTCTTAGGTTTGAGTACTTGGTGAAGTTGAATATTGTATGTGTTGGAATAAAAGGATTATGTATTGATTTGAAGTTCAAAAAAGATAGAGAGGAAATTGTTTCGTTGAATTATGAAGTCAGTTTTGCATTGTATATTGATATGTTAATTTTATATATGTTACAATATATACTTAGTGTACACTGCTTGTTAATTGCATAAGTTTTTTTTCAATACTTAACTTAATATATGATATGGACTTTTTGTGCATTTAATGTATTCATTAAGGAGATTTCATTTCGATATGTTGTTTACTTTGATTATATTTTTTTATCAAGTGCAATACAGAAATTGATATTAATTTTGTAGAGGGAAATTTAAAAAAAAAATTTAAAATTTTTCGACGGAATTTATTTTCCGTCAAAAATTCTTACACAAGTTTTCGACGGAATTTCATTCATTTTCCGTCAAAAATTTTAGACAGAATTTATTTTCCGTCGAAAATTATTACAAGATTTTTCGCCGGAATTTTATTCATTTTTCATCGAAAAATTTCAACGGAATTTATTTTCCGTCGAAAAATTATTACAAGATTTTTCGACGGATTTTTATTTATTTTCCATCAAAAAATTTCAACAGAATTATTTTTCCGACAAACTTTTCTACGGTAATTTTTTCCGTCGAAAATTTTCAACGGAATCTCTAATTCTGTCGAAAATACTGTTACCCACGAAGAGATATTCGACGACTTTATTTCCGTCAAAAATTATTTTTTCAACGAAATTTTAATCATTTTCGACGAAATTTTTCCGTCGAAAAAATAACACTTCTTAGTAGTGGAATAGGTCAATGTTTGGGAATCTATGGATTGAAAGAAAATTTTGCTTCTTGATTGAACACCTCTGGACGTGGGTGGGTTGTCTACCATTAACGGCTGATGGATCTCACCTATGTAGCACCCAAGGAAGCACGGACACTTGTAAAAATAGGAAGAGTCGGGTCCGACACGCTCCGACACGGTGTCGGACACGCGGTTGACTTTTTCCGACACGTTGACCATTCCGACACGCGAATTTGACCGTGTCTGACACGGTTAAATGGCATTTTCGTAATTTTGTTTTAATTTTTTTTTAATTTTTTTTTTAATTTTTTTTTTAAAAGTTAAAATATATTAATAAAGCTTCCACCTGATCATATTAATTTTATCTTTTTGTCTTTTTTTCCCTTAAGTAGATAAGAGATCATCTCAACATCATTGTTGTCAATTCCTATCACGCTCTTATTGTATCTTCTTCTCTCTGATCTCTCTCTAATATGATTTGATATCTCTATCTGATATTATATCTCTCTCATCTCAGTTCTTATTTTTTGATTAAAGCTTCCATCTTTATAACGTATTGATGAGTATTATTAATTCAGTTTCATTTTTTTGTTAAATTATTAAATATTAAATGAAATATACACTATATAAATTAAAAATATTATTTAATATTAAAACGTGTCCCAACGTGTCGAAGTCCATGATTTTTTAGGATTGACGTGTCGGAGTGTCGTGTCATGTCGTGTCACGTGTCACGTGTCGTATCGGTGCTACCCACGCGACACGTGACACGACACTCCGACACGTCAATCCTAAAAAATTATGGATTTCGACACGTTGGGACACGTTTTAATATTAAATAATATTTTTAATTTATATAGTGTATATTTCATTTAATATTTAATAATTTAACAAAAAAATGAAACTGAATTAATAATACTCATCAATACGTTATAAAGATGGAAGCTTTAATCAAAAAAATAAGAACTGGGATGAGAGAGAGATATAATATCAGATAGAGAGATCAAATCATATTAGAGAGAGATCAGAGAGAAGAAGATACAACAAGAGCGTGATAGGAATTGACAACAATGATGCTGAGATGATCTCTTATCTACTTAAGGGAAAAAAAGACAAAAAGATAAAATTGATATGATCAGGTTGAAGCTTTATTAATATATTTTAACTTTTAAAAAATTTTTTTTAAAAAAAAATTAAAAATAAATAAATAAAAAAATAAAAATAAAAATAATGAAAATGTCATTTGACCGTGTCGGACACGGTCAAATTCGCGTGTCGGAATGGTCAACGTGTCGGAAAAAGTCAACCGCGTGTCCGACACCGTGTCGCCGTGTCGGAGAGTGTCGGACCCGACTCTTCCTGTTTTTACAAGTATCTGTGCTTCCTTGAATCTCACTGTGGGTAGCTGAAACCCGAAAAATATATTTTGAGTCTTTGACCATTCTTTGATAAATCCCTGTGCCGTTACGGATCATGGGGTGAGAGTATGTGTTATACTCATGAAAATAATTCATTCTTTTTGGATACAATGGGAAAATAATATATTCTTGCAAAAAAGTTTGCCTTTAGAATTAGTTGTCCTTATTTCTTATATGAATTTAATTTTATGTGTAAGTTAATTGACGGGATCGAGCTTTTGTAAGATTTATATTGTATTAATGTGCGTGATCCCTCCATACGATTAAAAGTAAATATTTGTTATTCATCCCATCCGTGTATTTGATTTTACATTTTTTTTAAATGTTTTTTATTATTTTATTTTTATGGAGAGGAGTTTAAGTAGAAGACTTGGTTTCTAACTACACAGTTGCTTAAGCTCTTCATGTGATATCAATAAGACATTTGCAATTTACATATATTAATAACTTTTTTGTGTTCTAAACCTATTGAGTGCTAAGCAAAATTGGCTAATGACATGGACGACGATAATCTATAAGGCCCAGCATGAATGTTTCGGCCCCATCATTTAAGCTCCAAGTTGAAAGCAAGATGGGAAGTTTGGACAATGAAGACTCCTTGAATAATCACGTATGCCCAAACCAATTCCTTATTTTTTTTAAGGGGAATGGATCATCTTATATTAAAATTTCATATGAGAAGGTCATATGAAATTTTCGTATTTATCTTTTTCTTCATTAATATTAATAAATTATAATTGAACCTCACTTATTTAATATATGTGAAGAGATAGAAAAAAAAATTCATGAATGAATTTTAACAAGAGAAGATTCATTTCCCATTTTCTTATCCCTTCTTTTTGGTTTCCGACCTCATGGTTAGAGGTGTGCACAGTTCAATTTGGTTCAGTTTTTTTGACAGAACTGAACTAGAAAAAATAATTTAGTTCAAGAGAATTGAATTGATTTATTTTTTCGAACCAATTGAAAATTGATTTTTAAACCAGTTCTGAACTAGTACAGGAACTATGTATGAGCGATAGATTGAAGGAATGTAATCTGATAAATTGGATCAAATATAATAACATGTCAAAATATCATGTGCTTGTCAATGTTACATGTTGCAGGCCCGAGCCCACAACCAGCAAATGGACCATATCATATGAGACATAGGAGGCAGACCACATACCTGAAGGATTACATAGTGGGATAAGGGGGAACACGGGCCTATGTTTTAAATTGTAATAGTGGGCTAAGATCTGAAAGTGAACAAAGATATAAGTGTTGGTAATGAAAGGAATGGGATAAGAAAAATTCAGAAAATCAATTCACTCTATCTGTCTTCTCTCTCTTTTCCCTCCTAATTCTTACCCTCTTAACATTTCTTCGCAAAACCCAAAGTCCCCTATTACATTGGTGCTTTCATTGACCAACCAATGGCAGACAATACTCGTCTGAAAGATATCGCTCAACAGGTGTAGGATCTGCAATTGTACCGCCAATCTTCTGACCAGAAAATTTCCTCCATGGAAGTTACTTTTGATCGTCGTTTGGACACCTTTGAAGTAGCTCAGAATCAATGCTTTGAGGCGATCCAAACCCAGATCCAAGAGATCTTTGTTACTCTAGAATATATAAGGACAGTCATCCTCTTCGCCCCACACTGCCTCCGCTGGTATTTTGGGAGCTGGTCCTACTAGATCGACCTCCTTTGATGATTCCAAATCTTGCCCACTGAAGATGAACTGAGTGGTTGTTTGCTGTGGACAAGTATTTCCAATATTTTCAAGCATCTTGGCGTGTTACGTGGCGACTACAGCGCCACTCAACGCATATGTGACACGTGTCACAACCGGAACAAAATCACTGGGCTGTTCAACATTTTTACTGGTGCACATCACTATAAAAACGCCCCCCCCCCCTTTTTTCCACTCTCTCACTGGTCCCCCCTCCCCCTTTCACACAAATTGGTTCCCCTCCTACGCTGATACATGTAATTTTTTTTTTCACTACAATTTAGTTTATTGTTTTAAATTTAAATGTTGTTATTTTATATGATAGATTAGACAATATTTTTTATTAGTATAGGAATAAAATTCTAGGATAGACGATATATTTAGATATAAATTAATTTGCTAGTGTAGAAATTAAACCTTAGGATAGCTGACATGGTTTATATGTTTGATGAATAAGTTAGTATAAATAAATTATAGGATACTTTTAATTATTGAATTTTATATTTTCAAATAAAATAATTTAAGGAAAATTAACATTGGTTTGAATATTCTTTTTTGAATAAATTATTTTAAATTAATTTAATTTGGGACTGTTAATTTAATTTAATTTATGTCTGTTAATTAATTAAATTTATTCTATGAGTGATAATTAATTTAATTTAATTTATGTTAAGTTAGATTATTTTTTAACTGTTAAGTAATTTAAATTAATTTATGAGTATTAATGAATTAAATTAAATTTATGTTTGTAAATTAATTTAGTTTAATTTATTTTATATTAATTTAAATTATTTTAGAATTGTTAATTAATTAGTTTTAGGAGTGTTAAGTAATTTCATTTAATTTAGTTTATGTAAAGTTAAACTATTTTTGAAATGTTAAGTAATTAAATTTAGGATTGTTAATGAATTAAAATAAATTTATGTTTATTAAATAATTTAGTTTATATTTATTTAAATTATTTTAAACTGTTAATTAATTATTTTTAGGAGTGTTAATTAATTTCATTTAATTTAGTTTATGATAAGTTAAATTATTTTTGAATTGTTAAGTAATTTAATTTAATTTAGGAGTGTTAATGAATTAAATTTAATTTATGTATGTTAATTAATTTAATTTCATTAATTTAAATTATTTTAGAAATATTAATTTATTATTTTTAGGAGTGTTAATTAATTTTGTTTAATTTGCATATGTTAATTTATTTATTTTAATGTTTTTGTTCTTTTAAATTATTTTAGAATTATTAATTAATTATTTGTATAATGTTTTGAAATAGATTCATCGCCCCGTGAGGAGCATGAGCCTGCACCTCCTGGCTCCCCAAGATCTCTTTGTATCGCCATTATATCAAACCCAATTGATACCTCTCTCTTGACATTACAGGAGAAACACTTTTTCACATATATGTGGAATGGCTAGTGCGATTGGCGACTCAATATTAGACACACCGCCACATATGACCCGTTGAACATACCTGAGGACATCGAGCCGTACTTGAGGCAGGTTGGATTCTTTCACGTTGCGCGGCTGTGCAATTACGATGCAAGTATTCATTTATTGCTTTTTTTTTATTCATATGGATTAATTGTATTAATTTGAAAACATCACCTATTTTTATTGTTTCAGATTGACTATGCCCTTATTTCTGCACTTGTCGAGCATTGGCGGCCTAAGATGCAGACATTTCATATGGCGCATGGTGAGATGATGATCACCCTAGAGGATGTACACCATATGTTGGGTTTGCCCATGAATGGTGACATTATCTCCAGTTGTGTTGGACAATATGATTGGCGACATGTAATATTTGAAAACCTTCGAATTCAGCTAGAAACAAATCGTGACATGACGGGTAGTTAGTGAGCCTTCAGTGGTTGCGTCAGTGCTTTGGTCATAATGGTCCAAATGTTGGGGTGGAGGCACAACACATTAGGTACACGCGCGCGTTGATCTTGCACATCTTAGGAGGATGGTCGTATTAGGAGGAACCCGACTGGGGGTTAGATTTCGATGTAATTTCTAGCCATTTTTGCATGATACGAGATTGTGCGGGGGTGATCATTGACCGAGCTAGACAACCTTTGTTATGTAGATTTATTTTTTTAGATGCTTCATGGACATTTTAGACATATTATTTTTTTAGTTATCGTGGTTATGTATGATGATGAACTATGGACATTTTGATATAATATAACCCATACTGAAAAAACAACGTAGTAAGAACACTTACATATATAGTACATATAACATTGGTAAACAACTTTTAACTAATATATGGTAGAAAACCCGAAATAATCAAGATTGAGTAGTTGGGTTCCGCGCAAGACAATTACGCCTATTGTGGCCAACAATCCTACAAAAATTGCATCGTGTGCGAGTCATGGTCCCTTCTCGTACGTCCATCTCATTACATATACGGTCGCTTTTAGGCCTTCCTTTCTGTCGCCTCATCGACACATCTGGGATTACAATTGGTCCAACACTGGGTGGTATGAATTCCTCATTTTTGATCGGGTACCGTTGCCCTGAGTATACCTGGCATAGATATGCAGCACTGTAAGCGAGATCAATGTATTGCATTGGATCATGTTTGTAGTTGTGCAAGCTGCTATGACATGGCTGCACGGGTACTTAAAAGCAATAAATTCACCACACTGACATATCCAATCAGGTAATAAAATTGACCATTTCTTACCGCCTCAATGAGTACGCTGGTTGTACATTTCTTGAACCTCAAATTTTGTCTTATGAGGATAATAACATGTCACAAAATGTGTTGCGGCTTTTTGTTGATTTTCCAAATATGCTTGCCAGAGTACTTTGGTGAATTGACCCCTCATGGCCATCTCCTCGCAGGCCTCTTATCCATGTTGAAGAAAGTATTGCACCAGACGCGCATATGTGAGCCTCACCAAAGAAGTGATAGGAAGGTTTCTTGCGCCCTTAAGAACCTTATTAACACATTCTGACAAGTTTGTGGTTATGCGACCAAACCTTTTGCCCTCGGTATTATATGCGATGCTCAATTTCTCTTTTGGAATGCGATCTATCCATGCGGCTATTTGTGGACTTGCTTCTTTTAATTTCTCTAATCCAGCATCAAAATCCAACCGTGAAGTTGTATAACCTGCATACAATAACAAAGACCGAAGCTTTAATAAATATTCCACACAAGATGCTAAAAACTACATGAATAAGTCGAAAACTATACCTAACTTCTTCAATTGCTGCCTAACAAGACGAACACACACTTTTTTACAATTTGTGCGTGTCGGACACGTGTTGGACACCGACACGCGTCCGACACATGGTCAACATTTTGGGACACGCGGTCAATGCTCCGACACGCTTTTCTGGCACGCGGTCAACGTTCTGACACATTTTTCTAGGTCTAAATTTTATTTATTTATTTATTGGTATCCTATTTTATTTATTGCTAGACCCAAACTCAGGAGCAAGCCCCACTACGTCAGCTTCCAGGAGAACCACCACTTTAGGCGGGGAGTATGAAGAATGTTCAGGTTTCATTTTAATTTTTATCATCTTATCCTTTTCTTTTAATTTTCAAAACACATTTATAAATTTTATTTGTAGTAAAATTTTAGACATTGGGTAGCTCTTCTGATGGCCCATGTCCAGATTCGTAACTATCGTATTAGGAATCATAATAATTAATCATCCTTTTCTTTATTTGCCCCTTCTAGAAAATGAACTTCTTATATGGGTCAATAACATGTTGAAAATTTCTCAAATCGAATTCTCAACATATTTTTTAGTTTAAATAAAAGTTATTTTAAAAGAAAATAAGAATTTGGGAACATTAATTTAAAAGAGACCAACTTCTCAGTGCTAATTGAACATTATAATTTCTTAATTATTTTTCTTTTAAGATAAATAAAGAAGTCTGTTATGCAATAATTATGATTTTTTATATATGTTTGTGTTCTGTAATATCTATATGACAGAGATGTCTATCCAAGGGCTAGTGGATCAATATAGGATCTTGTGCTCTCTAGATGCCTATGAATTAGGTATCTTGGGGGGTAGCAAATCATTGTACACGATTATTAGGCCTTAGCCCAAAATGGAGTGATGTGTGTGCACAATGATTGCGTAATAGTAATAATAAAGAGATATTAGTCCATACATGTGATCTTTAGCTCCTATTTATAGTGTTTACCTTAGGGTTTGAGCCATTTAGGCCTCCTTCCTTTGGGCCTGATCCGTTGTCTGTATGTTATTCAACAGTCCATCAACTGTTGGGCCTCTCAAGTATATGAGCCTTATATAAGTCTATAACAGTTCGAAAGTTATTTTTTCTCTACTCAATTTCTCAAAAAAAAAAAAAAAAACGTTAAATATCAAAGTTACTTTAACAAAAAAAGAATCATTGGAAAGTTAAATTTCGAATAGACTAACTTTTTTTGTTGTTGGTGATACAATAGACTAACTTCTCAATGCTAAAAAAACAAGAGTATTAAGCCACTAGGATTGGTTAGTGGTGAGAGATTTGAGTAATTTGTATTAAATTATTATGTGTTCAATTTCGATTATTGTATATAAAAAAAAAAAACAAGAATCTTTTGGAAAAAGTTAAAAAAGCGAGAGTATTAGGAATTAGAGATAGAAAAAAAATGGTAGTAGCTCAGTTAGTGCATCAGAACTAAGCAGGTGGAGGTGAAAGCATGTGTTCGAATCTTTTCAGGATCACCTTTGGAAGAGGTTTAAAGCCTTAATCCTGGACTCGTCCCGAATCAGATTAGTTGCAAAGCAATGAACCGATTGAAATATTTTTTATAAAATGGATCTTAGACTCGTAGTAAAAGAGCCATCACATGCCTGTTAATAAGGTATTCCTAATAATAAATTACGGTAAGACAACTCACTTAGATAAATAAAATAAATAAATTTTGAGAACTTTACTTTGTAATCTAATGAAGCGTCAACTTATTATTAAAAAAATTGAAATTCATTAAACAATATAACAACATTCATTATATAATATAATTACGCTTCATTAAATAATTAAACCCGGTGAATGCATAATTATTTTAAAAAAGACATCTCACTTAGATCCTTTGTAATAATAAATACTGCGACAGAATCATTATCTCAATTAATAAGTCATTGCCTTTTACATTGAAAACAAAATAACGCACCATGACATTACCCCCACCCGGCGGCAAGGAAAAGACAAGGTGTCGGATTCTTACTAATGCATCATCTTATTTAATAATCTTACGTTACTTTTCTATTATATTACACTTACATTATTTTATGATATAATAAAAAAATATAAAAAAATATTTTATTTACCAATAAAAAAAGGTAAGAGCACTGTATGGCAAAATTAAGGCGGAAGTAACAAACTGGTAACCAATTAAGTTTTTTTTTTTTTTTTGTATTCAAAAAAAAGGCGAATGAAGTTAATGTTTCCGATAAAGAAATAAAACTTAATTAATTTGGTGGTTTTCGAGTAGAAATTATGACAAGTCACGGGCCTCCTGAGGTCACACATTCAATGCATACACACACCCATCCCTTAATCACAGAGAATGAAAGGAAGGGACATGTCCTTTTAGTTTTCGTCCACCCTTTTTTCTTAAAATGCTGAGCGGAAAAGAACTGTCTTTCATGACTGTTGTATGCGCAAAGAACTTTATAGCCGGTAAGAACTTAATGCTTGCACAGTTCTATTAATGAAATGTACACAAAATGGGAAATGGCTAAAAGTATATCATCTCGTCATGCCCAAAAAAAAAAACAAATATAAAACTAAAAAGGTAAAAGCAATTGGGTCTGGAACTTGACCCTCACTCTTCCTTTCTATCAAAAAAACTGTAAGCATATTCCTCTGATCATCACATTTCATTTCAAAGATCCATCACCTGCACATTTAAGTGACATGGCCATATACCTATAATATGTGTATATACAAGTCAAAAGAATCAATCTCTGCAAAATCCAACCAATTAATTCACCATGGCCTACCCTCCTCCAGACTTTAGGATCCAAAACACTCAAAACATTCAAAACATTCTCAATCCACAATTTCCCCAGGAAGTACCTATGGTTTAGTATATAGGATTGACTATGGCTGGATCAATTATGGCAAAAGCTCAGGGTCATGTACAGGCCACAGAGGAAACGGAGAGTGGATAAAGGAAGGTGTTTGCATACTGAAAGGAAATAGTACCACCGTTGAGCAAAGGCCTGCCATCATTGACGAGGCAATCGTTGTAACGGAGGCGCTTGAAAAGCTTGGGGTTGATGAGACGTGCAGAGCTGAACCAGCCACAGCTTAGGTGAATACCAGAGATGTCGCACCCACTGACGCACATATTCATGATCTCAACTGTGTATGTGGGGATGCCACTTGGGAGTGGTGCTGTGGGGCCTTGGTTGATTACAATGTCAGATTTGCTACACTTGTCACCCCATATTCGTTCCGGTTTCACCATAGCAGGGTCTGCACAAAAGTTGCTTTGTTTAAAAAAATTCAAACAAGGACCATTGTATCAGAATAATAGTAAATTATGTTATATGGAAAGAAAGTGGGCACAGTACTACTAGTACAATGCATCATTGATCAAGATCAACAACCCATCCACCCACACAGGAAGCCACACCGCGACAAAACAGAGTTTATTCATCAAAACGGATACAAAGAAAAGCGAATCCAACCCTAATAATACCATAAAAAAAGGCTCCAATTAGCTCAAAAGTAACTCTCAAGTCTCAAGTTTAACTTGGGTGAAAAACCAATTATTCAAAAGGCTTTTTTAGCTCCCATTATGAAAATATAACAAATTGAATCCTCAAATGTACGAGAAGCACGTTCCACCAACGAAAAGAAACAAAGTAAAATGGTCATAAATTAAGAAGGTGAAAAAAACAAATACCACGATGAAGAAGTTTGCGATGTGGAAAAGGGAGTGTGTTGTTGGGTCCTTCCACTAAACCCAGCGACATGAACACTGAAATTCTGGTGCGAGCCCCACCACCCAAACCTGCAAAGGGATTCACAAGGGGACAAAAAACAATAATCAGTTAAACAATTAAAAGAGCATTCACATATCATGGAGACCCCTCGTGTTGTTCAAACCCCAAAAAAAAAAACAAAAAAGAAAAAACACAACCACCACTACAGTCCACATACACGGAATTTTCTTTCAAATAAAATAACATAAAGCGAAGAATCTGTTACGAGTGAATCCATGGTGGTTAGGGAAAGAGGAACGCACCTGCGAGAACAGCGAGGAAGAAGCAGGAGGCGGTTACGATCACGGCGATTCGTTGAACCGAATGCAGTTCCATGAAACAACGCAGCGAGTGATGGATGACGAGTCAGTTGGAACTAACTACTCAAGCATGGAAGAGAGAGAGAGAGAGATTAGAGATAAGATCTGCAGGAGAAAATGAAGGGTCATATATACATCACATCATGTGAAGCGCAGTGCAGAAATCAGTCAACGAAACACGAATAGCCGTCGATTCGCGTAAAGAGAAGAAAAAAAAGGAAGTGAAGGATCACGGGGCTAAGATGACACAGTGTGTGAGAGCGTGAGACCTAAAAAGAGAAAATAAGCATTCATGTTTCTGATTCAATATCAAGAAGAAAAAAAAGGCAGCTATAAACCTCGATCAAACTGAGACGACATTCATTGCTCCGATAACTGTGTCGTTTTGGGTCACACGGTTTGTGTTTTGTTTAGAGAAAAAGAAGTCTAGGAAATGCGAAAATAGGAGCGGCGAGAGCAGAGTAGTGGACAAAGGAAGGAAGGAGAAGCAGCGTAGGCGTAGAAAAAAGGGTAAGGGGTTGAAACGACCAAGATGGCAGAGATTTTCAGTATTCAGAAGTGACAAAACTGCAGAGGAGAATCGACAAATAAAAGGCGAAGCGCATTTATGAGATAACGCTGCCATGCCATTAGGTCTTTCCCTATATATGCCAGACCACGCTCACACGACACAATACACAAAGTTTACCTTCCATTTTTTCAATTTTGTGTCTAGTGTGTGTGTGTGTGTGTGAGAGAGAGAGAGAGAGAGAGAGAGAGAGAGAGAGAGAGAGAGAGACTTACTAGCTAGGTAGGTTTTTAATGTTTTATTCTCTTTTCTTTTTCTGTTGGTATTGGAAACGGAAGACTCGATCCGGAGACGCTGGGTTTCGCCTTTTTCAGTGTATGGTGTGATATTGGTTTTGGTTTTGGGTTATGACCCGCGTCTCTGCCTCTCTATAACAGTGTCAGTTCCTTGCTTTCTATTAAATAAAAATGAACCAAGGGTTTTGTAACTTTTGTTTTAGATTTGGGTTGAACCATGGTTAGTGACACCGCACGTGCGGTTGTTAACCGTGGCCCTCGAATATGAACAAAATACGAATTATTATTATCATTCTCAATTCTCGTGTTTAATGATTAGCTACCTCCTCTATTATTCTCACCTTTTAGACACTAAATGCCAATCTCAGGTGTTTCTCCAATCTCAGCCAGGTCCATCTAGATGATAAATTTTTATCATCTTAAAATTCCATTTTTTGGTAGCATTTAGTATGTGTCGCCTTAATTATAATATTAAAAATTAATTAAACTAAAAACAAAGAATAATTTACTTAATTAAAGTGATGCAATGAATAATATAGCGAATATGTTACTTCATAATCAGTAAGTTACCTTGTAATTGCTACATGCTTAATTTTTTTGGTACTTGAGGTATTTTTATTTAACTCCCTCTAGTTTATTTCTAGAGTATGATTTTTAAAACTAACTCCTTATTGATACAGCTAGTACTTTGAATTAAGGGTGTTAAACGAATCAGGGGTCTTTAGCTCGGCTCGTGAAAGCCTGACCTTACATGTTTAAAATTGATTGTTGGCACCAGACTTGAACTTGTATAAAAAATCGTTTAATAAAAAGGCTCCAAGCTCCAATTCAAAAGCTCGGTCTTAGAGTCTCTTAGATTGACCTAGTATATTATTATTTTTTTTATATATTTTTCATACTACTTGTTTTATATATTTCTCTTCAATCCATTTCACCCTATTTTATTGGTTAAACAATTTTTTTGAATGATTTTATTCTATATTATGTTGTTTGGATATATATTGAATTTATGAATATTTATGGAATTACTAGTGTTGTTGATTGTATATTTTGTTTGGATAAATTTTTATTGTTTTATTCTATTTAAACAGGCTAACAACTAAATCAGACTTTTATTTTTTATAAATAAGTCAGGTCACATTCCGATAATTATATTTATAATAGATAACAAGCTTGGTCAGGTTGACACATTTAAACACAGACTTAACATTTTAAAATCAAAGTTCAGCTCGACTCGGCCCATTAACACCTTTGCTTTGAACATTTGTCACCAAAAAAAGGAACGAGACTAATTTCTCAAAACAAAACTTTGAACGTAAAAGTATATACCTTTGATACCAAAAATTACTACCGAGAATCGAACACAAGATTCGATTATTTGGTCACAATTCACTACCAACTGTCCACCCCAGTTTAGATGCTTATTTTTATGGATATTAGAATTGAAATCAAAATCTATTTTTATCTGCATGCTATGCTATCTTTCTAATTTAGTCAACTTCATATATTTTTTAGTCTAATTATATTTTATGCTAAGGACAAAATGTTGGAAAATATATGAAAGGAGAGTGGAGGTCACGCGGTCCAACCAGAATTGAGCATAATGATCCCAATTCCAGTCAATCCAAGAGTCGTTTTTTTTACGTACGCAAGCGGGCACATTCTGTTTTTGTGCACGTACAGACATAGAGGGTGAAATGGAGGCACGCAATGGAACGGACCCACCCGAATTTTGGTACATTACCATTTCGGTATTGATCCGCTTCACCAATTTCTTTTTCACAAAAGAACCAACCAGCAAGGAAGGATGACAACTGAACTTTGTCCCTTTTTTTTTTTGGGTAATTTATTATCGTTGCCTGAAAAAGTGACTTTACATTTTACAATTTGCTCTTTATTGTATCACATAATGGGGCAAAGCCCTTTTGCGTTCTTTCTTATTTGTAGTGAACTTAGGAGTGAGACGATAAATCTTAAATGTGATTCAATCACCACTGCCAGCATTCTCAATACAATAAAATGCATATAAAATTATTTGCTGAACCAATTAAACGAAGAAAAAAAATTAATTCCGAAGCATAATAGAATAGCACTCTGATAACAGAACCATTTCTCATAAATTATTCACAAGATGCGAGTCAGAGTGAACTGGTGATTCTACCATAAAACGGTCATTGAGAATGACTTGGACACCAATGCTTACCATTAGTTACCAACAAACACTCCATACTTCCTCATATTATTCTTCCTATAATTTGACTAGTATTATACATGCCTCATCTAATGCCTACCAGGAGTACATACTGTATTCCTTTCTCTCAAAATAGTGTCGTGTAAAGCGCCGTCTTATATTCTAAACTAAAATCTATAAGATATGTGTCATACAATAGCATTGACCGTTTAATTTAATAGCATATATATGTTACATGTGTCGATATGTGTTATACTCTTGGAATATTTAGATTCTCTTCAAGACAAGGCACTGTTACGATTTTTTATTTTATTATTATTTTTTGAATTATTAGGTTGTTTAAGTAATGAGTAATTATTTGAATTTTAACTTTCCTAAAGAATAAGTCATAGCTATTAGTGGAGCCTATTTAGTGTTAGCGGGTAGTTATTTTTAAAGTTGTCTTGTATTATCTATTTAAACCTTTAAGTATTGGAATAAAAGTATCGTATCAGATTAGAAAAATTATCCCAAAAGATATTTGTGCAAGAGGTCATGCTTCCTCAGTAAAGTCATTTGAGGTCAGACTTCTTCAGTAAAACCAAATTCCCATTTTTATTTATTGTGTTCGTAACAAGCACCTTTGCTCTTATTATTATTATTATGATGTTCTATTAGTTGTCTCTTTAAAAACAAATTTATTTTAATCTTACATCTACAAACAAGATTTTCTCATACCTTTCTTCTTCTTCTTTATCTCTTTCTCCTTTTTTCCCCTCTACTATCAATGCCTCTCCCTTGTGTTATGTATTGTAGGGCTTCCTCATTCAATGTTAAGCCCAATTCTATTGAGGAATTTCCTAAAAACTCTAACCCTAGATTCCACCTTCTCTATATATTTATTAGTTATTGGTGGAGGCTAGGTTAGGATGAGAGATTTTGAGAGAAAATTATTTGAGAGATTTGTGAGCAAAACTTTAAGTTTTGCATTTGAGAGATCTCTACAGAGAGTTTGAGTGAAACATCTCTAGAGTAATTTTTGATTATCACCATTGTTGGAGAGATTGTGTTAACCACCACATTGGTGTATTTTGATTCTTTGTATTCATTATTTTCATAGTGGACGTTTGATCTGGACTAGGTCCCGCGGGTTTTTACTTCTTCATTGAAGAAAGTTTTCCCACGTTAAAAACTGCTTGTGTTCTCCTTCTCTCTCCTTTATATTTTTATTTTTTCGCTGCGCTGCCTGACCTGGTAAAGTTCAGGCCAAGGTAAGATTGCCGAGATCCGAAATCCAGAATCTCGTTGACTGACTTCCGCAAAAAGGCTGCTTAGCTGACTTGAGGGAACCGAGTTTCCAACATGTATGGTGTCCAAAACCGTATGCACTTATAACATTTTAGATAAAATGAATAGATATAACAAAAACAAAAAAAATTGAGATCTAGTTCTATATGAAAATATTGTACCAAAAATTCTCATTTATAATTTTGGTTCTTGGGTAACCTTTTTTGGTTGGGAGGAGGGCTCCACCCTCCAAACTCGAAACCTAATAGAAGACATGAAAGTGACTTCCACAATATAGTGCTTCCAATTCGAGTTACATAGTGAACCACAATTACAAATTTACAATCCCCGGGCCCAAAGCGCACACCACATACAATCAAGAGAAATGGAACTTTAAATATGCTTTCTCAAAACGATTGATTACAACGGAATGCTTGCTAACCATGACCCTTTTTCTTTATTGACATTGGTGCTACTGCTAACACAACTAGCAAGGAATCAAATCTATCTATTGTCCCTCCCTCTAATTAAATACTAATAGTTTAGCAACAAAAAATTGACAATTAAAAAAGATTGTATTATTTAATTGCTACCATATTTAGAGGTGCCTTTGTCAATTTCCTCAACAGCTTTGGAGAATTGGACTCAAGTGTAAGTTTTACATTAGAAAGTTAAAATTGCTTCTACTTTCATTAGGTACACGAGATAAAGTGAGAACCATTCTGCTTGGGGCATACATCATTGAAGATATGATTCAGCATACATCATCCTCATTCAACTTCAAAACCGGCTACTAAGGAGCTATACAACATTG